TAGGGATGGGAAGGGAAGGGAAGGGAAGGGAAGGGAAGGGAAGGGAAGGGAAGGGAAGGGGTTTTGTTGGGCTGTACATAGGTAAAAATTGTGGCCTTCTGGATCTGCACAAGACCACAAGGGAGGTGGAGACTTTTATAGTGCCAGGACACAGAGAATGGCTTCCCACTGCAAGAGGGCAGGGATAGATGGGGATACTGGGGAGAAATCCTTCCCTGTGAGGGTGGGGAGGGGCTGGGATGGAATTCCCGGAATAGCTGTGGCTGCCCCTGGATCCCTGGCAGTGCCCAAGGCCAGGCTGGAGCTGCCTGGGACAGCAGGAGGTGTCCCTGCCATGGCAGGGGTGGCACTGGCTGGGATTCAGCTCCCAACCCGTCTGGGATTCTCTGAACTTACAGTAAACACTGCTTGGAGGTTGTTCAGTTTCTCAATTTCTTTTGGCATCCCATTGCTGCCCCAACGGACCAGGTAATTTTCACTGCAAAGAAAGGGAGAAAAAGTCAATTTTAACAAATCAACACCTGACACCTCCATTTCCTAGGAAAAGCACAAAAGCATTCTGATCTTTGAGGAAAATCTGATCCATCTTTTATCCCAAAATGCCTCTGAAGTGACTCATTTACTGGAGGCAGGATGGGGTGAGCCCTGGCAGCTGCTCCCCTGGCCAATTCCCACTGTATAGCCACACCTGATAACCGCAGTGCTGGACACAGAGTGTTCCTGACACGGAACTGCCTCCCTGATTAAGTTCCTCATATCCTCCCCACCTCTTCAGATGTGAACTGGCACTGACTGGACAGCAAATACCATTTAAATCCCTGATTTACTGAAAAACAATTAATAAAATGCTTAACCAAGGCTTGCAGCCACAGCAGGGAAAATTAAGATACAAAAAGACAATGTGGGATCAAAGAAATACCCAGCTTTAGGAAGGACACTTCCTGGACTTCCTATCTCTCTGAAATTCATTCCAAAGTTTTTAGAATTCATTTTCCCCCACTGGGGCAGCAACCAACAACAGAACTGGAAAACTTCTGGTGGATCTCCCTTTCTAACCCACTGGCTTCTTCAGAACGAGCACCCTGATGACTAAATTGCTTAAGAATCTCCAAAAAAGCACCCACCTGATGAATTTGGAGAGGTCAGGGTCATAGAGGCTCATCAGCAGCTCTGCATCTTCCCCAATGTTGCAGACAAAGTTCTTGAAGTTCACATAGAGGCTGTAAGTGTGTGTGGTGTTGAATATTGGCTGCCCCCGGAGGTCCAAACTCTGCTGAAGGGACTGTAAAGAATTTCACATTTTCCATTAAATTTTATATTTCTGTTACAAACACAGGAGAATTTAGTTCTGCTGCCAAGGGAGCACAGCCTTAAGGGGAATATAAAAGCACAGTGACTGAAGAGGGAAAACCAGAGGTACCTTCTCCTCCTGGATCCTCTCATCAATCCTCTTGGATGCAGTTTCATGGGCCTTGAAGAGGGAGATTGTGCTGGTCTCATCTGGGTCCAGGATGTTCCCGTTGTCATCTCGGACTACCAGGTCCAGACCCAGGATCCTGGACAGCCCCAGGAGACAAAAAAATGCAAGAATGTGGGAGCAGCAAAGATCAAATCACTGCCTGTGCTCAACATCCCACTCCTTGGAATAACCTCACTCACTGCTGGTTTTCCTGCCTTAAAAAACCTTCTCTCCCATTTTCCCATTCAAGGGAGAAGGAATTAGTCAGGTAACTCAATCCTAGGTTGACATCTCCCTTATTCCTGCCTAAATGGCTTTCCTTCAAAGGTGGATGAATATCTACCAAGCTCATGGATTGCAGCCAATTGTTATTCTCTCCCACAGGCTTCTTAATTCACTTATTGGACCTCAGTCGCAGCTGACAGGCAGAAAAATAAGTCCTGGAGACTGCAAACCACTGGAGTGTCTGTGGAATCCTGCCCTCAGCTGCTGATAAAGCAGAGCATTTCCCCACCAGCATCCAAATCCAGGCACAAGCTCTGCTCCAACAGAAAGGCCGCCCCGTGCCAGGATTTGTGCAGAATGAAGAGAGAATTCCTGCCAAGGCACAGAGATCTGTGGCACACTGAGAACCAACCTGCCAGGTGTCCATGTTGTCACGGGGACTCAAAGCTGCCATTTCACCCCTTCCAAGGAAAAATTTAAGCCTAAGTCAGGGCCTGGTTTTGCACTAAGAGCTTTCCCGGGCGTTTGGGAGCCTCCCCTGCCCTCCAGGCGGAGTTTGGAGCTCACCTGTTGCCATAGTCAATCTTGGCAGTGACTTTTTTCTTGAGCTCAGCCAGTTCATCCTTGGGCAAGGTCCCGGAGAGGATTTGGGATCTCCACTCTATCAGGCTGTAGGTGAGCTGTTGGACATGCCTGAACTGCGTGGTTTTGTTGTTCTGAGGCAAAAAAAGGGAAAAAGAAAAGGGCAATTTTAATCAAGGAAAACCTGGAAACCTTAGCTCAGCAACCCTTCTGAAATGTGTGCAACTGCAGAACCACACCAGTTTTATTTAACTAAAAATACCTGGCACTTTGTGACACCACAAGAGCCATGCAGTAAATTTTGCAGCACTTGGCACTGCGAAGGTTTAAGTGCCTTTAAGATCTTTAAGTGTCTTTAAGGGCTTTACCTTTCCCTGGGACATTATTTCAGAAAAACCTCACCTGCTAAAAATAAACCTCTGGTGCTTTCCAGCATTTCCAGACTGTTCTGATGGAGGCTTTTTATGAAACGGACAGAGAAACTATCTTAACAACTGAAGGAGGACACTGAACAAGACATCAAAACCTGCCTGGTGACGAGTCCCCTCCTGCCATTCCTTCTGTTATCATCTCTAATTAATGCAAACACTTCCCACGCCCTTTTGCTTCTTCCACCTTCATAAAACCAGTCCCGTCCCCACACCTTGCTCCTGCGGCTCCAAGGCTGTAATTACACATGGATATGTGGCAGCCCACCCTGTTTGTGCGCTTAGATAAGTAAATTCACTTTTCAAAGTGCCAGGGAAGACATTTAAACCATGGAAAAGAGAGCCCAGGCCTTGCTCTCCCTCTGCCACCACAATGGGGCAGCTCCTGGGAGGATTCCAACTGTTGTCACAGGGAAGTGCCACAGATCTGGAGCCACTGGGATTGAGTTATTCAGCTCCAAAGGAAGAATGTAAACTGAATTCAAGGCCTGGTTTTGCATTAAGAGCTTCCCCTGGGGTTTGAGAGCCCCAGGATGTTTGGGTCACATTTTCCCCACTGGGACCAGAGCTGTTAATGGTGAGCTACAAACCCCCCCTGCTCCCACACAGCACAAAAAGAACCTAAATGCAATTATTTCCTCATCCTCATCTCTGCAATGAACAGCAATGATATAAACTACTCCTATTTCCCTATGATTTAAAGGTAGGAAAACAATCCTCTCTTTGATCTGGGTGAACACCAAGGTACTGGCAGGGGCTACTTGAGTTTTTAGCTCTATAGAAAGGATATTTGAGATATATTTAATAAACACAGAAAAAACATGTTCTTGTGTAAAAAGTTTGCAAAGAAGAGGCAATTTGCAGGAATTCTCAGAGCAGACCTCAATTTGACCTGAGTTATCTCCACAGCTAATTCCTATTACGGCAACCAATTAAAAACTCTCCCCATTTTTGTATTTATTTTGCAGTGGTGATAAAGCCACAGCTACAATGAAACCCACATAAATTAAAGAAGTGAAATTAAATGCTGCCAAAATAAAAAAAATCCCCTCGTGTTTCCTTTTTCTCCTCAAATGCCTCCTTTCCTCCCTTAGCTTTTTAAAAAATTCTTTTAATACGTACTGCAGGGAAAATAAAATAAACTCAAATCCATTTTAAACCACAACATTTTCCAAAACTATTTTAAGACTTATAGTGGTTAAGCACAGGAACATGAAAGATTTCTGCTCGTTAAAAAAGCAGATTCTGAGGATGGGATCTGAAAGTTATTCAGGAATAAAAAATGCTGGGAACAAAACTCTCTTTTCACACAGTAATACCATCATGTAGAGCTTCTCATTAAATTGAGAGGGTGGAACAAATTCTTGTGGTTTCGTGGCACACAAACACAACGTATTTGTGGCCTGGTGAAATTTCCAATAGGAAAACTTGCTCGGGGTGATTGGAGCTCATTTAAACTCACTCCCTCTTCTTAATTAAAGCACTGGAGCACATTTTGTGCAGGCTGAACTTGCTACTGCTCAGAGAAAAATCAAGTTTGACTCTTTAATGTGCCTTTAAAAGAAAACTGCTCACTGTGGATTCATTTCTTTGAGCAAGAAGCATCCACTGCAGGACAACCCTCAAATCCCTGCAGTGCCTTGGCTTGCCTCACTGCTGAGGTGACTATTCCTGTGCTCAGGGATTTAGGGCATGAGAGCTCCTTCCCCACCCTACTGAGAGCTCCAGACATGGGAGCAGCCAGGAAATTCCTTCTGGGGGGCAGCTCTTGCTCTGGGACAGGGACAAGACCTGGGGGATGGCTGGAGCTGTGGCACAGAGGCTCAGGTTGGATTTTGGGAAAGGTTCTTCCCCCAGTGGGTGCTGGCACTGCCCAGGTTCCCCAGGGAATGGGCATGGAGGCTGCCAAAGCTCCAGGGATGCCCAGGCTGGGATTTTGGGGTGTATGTGCAGGGTTGGGTCAGTGATCCCTCCCAGCTCAGGACATTCCATGATGTGTTTTTTGACAAGTGCCATCTCACCCCACAGCACATCCCCGATTCTTCCCCTTTGCCTGCTTCCTGTTTGGGCCAGGGACGCTCTGGGTGGGCTCAGCCAGTCCATGGGACTCCTGCAGCATTCCCAGCACAGCAGAGCTCCCCCCTGCCCAAAGCTGTGTCCAAATTCCACAGTTTTGTGCCCAGCTGGCTTTTCCTGCCCTCACACAGGCAGGAAAAAGGGGGCTGGATTTCCCAGGGGAGCTGTGACTGCCAGCCAGCCATGGCACGGTGACAGCGTGAGCTGTGCCCCAGGGCAGTGTCACCCCAGCTCTGGGAGCTATGGGAGCCCCATTCTGCACCAGCCAGAGCACCCTGCAGAGCCCAGCTCAGCTCCTGGGGCACAGGCACCAGCCCCTGAGGAGAACTCACCACGTACAGCTTGTGCCAGATCACTGCCCACTCCCGCAGCGTGGACGTGAGCTCCTGGCCCAGTGGCAACTCGCTGGGAATCACTGTTTCGTGCTGCCTGCAGAGAGAGCATGGAGGAAATCAGAGAAAGGTTTCCACTCAGGGTTAAAACTGAATGGAAAACACCCTTTTCTGATAAACATATAAATGGAAGTTCCAGAGGGGCTGGTTTTCACACAATTCCCTCGCACATGATGTCAAGACCCTTAAGCTGTCCTCAACACACACATCCACATCCAGCATCCATTTTTAATGCAAAATGCTTCAAGCTCCTTTCACTCCTCTTATTCCCAGTGGATCCATTCCAAACCCAGGATAAAGAGACAGAAATTAAGTTTGGAAGAATCCCTGCTTGCAATGGTAACAGTCACTTGAAAATAAGAGTTTAAAAAAAAAAGTGTTTTATAAAGTTCCTTCCTTTGCAGCCGCTGTTTTGCTCTCACTTAACGAGCACAGACCCAGCACGAGGAATCCAACAAGGAGTCATTTCCTCCAGTGTTTTCCAAGACAGGAAGGAATCCATGCTCCTGCTGGGCCCGTGGCTGCCAGCAGGAATCTGATACGACTTGCAGGAGTCCCCAGAGAAGCTGCACTGACCCTCCCCACTACTGACCTGTGCAGCAGAGCTCCCTTAATTCTGCAAATCATCTCCTGCTGCCCCTGCTCCCCACTTTATCAGTGCTCTGAAAGTGGAATTATGCAGTGCTAGTCCAGCACAGGAGGTACACCCTGGGTTTGTGACAAGCACAGCTGCTTAAATTGGTTATTTTTGGGTTTAAATGGAATGAAATTCCCTGGGTTTCGCTGCCAAAGAAATGCCAACCTACCCCCGGTCCTTCACGATGGCCTCTTTTAAATGGATGTAGGTTTCTGGGAAAATGCCCTAAAAATATAGAGAGAAATGAAATAAATCAATCCTACTGTGGGATAGGAAGTGACAAGAAGATTATTTAACAAAAAGCAGGGGAAAGGAGTAAGAAATGTCCCAGCATGAGAGAAAAAAAGCACAGGGAGGAGCAGCAGGTTCCGTATTGGCAGCTCAAGAGAAGCTGATTCCTTGTTTTACTCCAATGACCCTCATCTTCCTGCAGGAAATGCTGGAAATTCCTGAAAATTATCAGTCACTGCCATGAAATATTCCTGGAGTCCTCTGTCAGGCTACCCAGTGCTCCCTAGAAGAACTCCCACCACCAGCACCTACAGAAATGCCCAGATTTTTGTTGTTACAGAGAAACCTTCAGGAAATGCTGTAATCCTTTTCTGTTCCCTTTTCTCCCCTCTTTACCCCTAGAACCAGAGGCTGTGGGGGATGTTACCACATGAGAGGAGCCAACATTCCTGGGGGAACCCAGATTTCCAGGCAGCTTCCAGCCCAAGCTCCAGCAGCTTGGCTGAAGGCCAGGGATTTGTACTTTCTGGAATATTTTCCAGTCAAAATACTGATATTCCCATTGAACAGAATCATGCTGGATGTGCACAGCTCCCAGAGCATCATAATAAAGCAATAAAGTTGTGTATGGAGATGGGAACAGGTAATTTGGGAAGTTCCAACTGCATTCCTCACACTTCCAGTGGAGGAATACCCAACACACAACTCTGGACTTTCCGCTCCAGGTCACTGATTTCTGTCACTGAGGACAGGACACTGTGGCCAGGAGTCCTGTCTGATGTTAAGATAAGAAAAACAGGAGTTTTCAGCACCAGACAGGGTCTGGCAAGGTGTGAAATTAAAATGGGAAGTCACCCAAAAGTAAGGTCGTACCTTCTTGGATTTATTTCGGAGTGTGTATCCTCGGTACCAGCCTGGCAAAGCAAACACAGATATTTACATTTAATTATTTCCTGCTCACAGCAATTAAATACAAATTGTAATCCTCACCACCTTTCTACAACACCAATTTATTGATCTCCTCATTTGGGATCCACCCTTGGGAAGACACCTCTGTTTGTAGGAGATGAGTTCCCTGTGCTGGTACAAATCCTGCTTTATCAATCTTACTTTGGTAAGACCTCAAAATTGGGAGATAGAAGCAATAATTGTGCTGCCCAGGCCTCAGGAACAAAAGTCTCTGAGAGAACATTTCTCCTCGCTTCAGCAGCTGGGGTTTAACCAGGATTTCCATGGAATGGGCTGGCTTGGGAGGGACATTAAAGCCCATCCAAGGCGATTATATCCAGCTGAGTGGCAGCATCAAGAAGGCAAAGGGGTTTAAGGGAATAATCAGGCAAAGGAGAGAGGAGGCTGGTTTCTTTGGGTTTGTTTTCAAATTTTTTTTGGTGTTTTTATTGTTGCTCCCCCTTCCATATTCCTATATTTATCAAAGAAAGTTCCATAAAGAACCATGGATCTGGCACTCCGCAACCATAAATTAGAGCTTAGAATGGTTTCATTTGCATTTTACTGAGGATTTTTATGTGCATGTGGTTGTATTTCCACTCATTTATTTTCTGAAGTGCAGTCTTGTGCCCTTCCTCCAGCAATGGGAAGGGATACCTCCACCTCAAAAACTCCAAAATTACAGCAGGAAGTTTGGAGAAAAGAAGAAACTCCATTTTTTTCTACAGGAGGAAAACAAGATTATCCATTGCTCATGGAGCCATGGATGAGGTCCTGGATTAGGGATGAGAAGATTTAGGTTCTATTTCTATCTAAGTTGTCATTAATTGAAGGAGAAAGCACAAATTACTCAGGGTGGGAGACAGAGTTCATGGAATTTAGGAGGGATTTCGATCCCACATTCAGCCCTTCGACAGCACAACTTCCTCCTGTTTCAAAGGGCCCCTTGGCCTTCCCCCCATTCCTGTAAAATATTTTGCAATCGTTGCATAAAAACATGTAGGGCCTGATTGTGCAAAGCTGTTTCTGCAAGCACCTCGTGCAACTTCTGTCGGAATTCTGTTCCCACTTTCAACAACTTTATCCATCACTTCAACAGCAACATCAATCTTTGGGCAGTGGTCAATCAATGACATGATTTCTCCTTAAAAAAAAACGAAATCTGCTTAAATCTTCAGAGGAATGAAAGACTGTTTAAGTGCTTGAGTGTTTTCCCCAAGCAGAGATGGGCTAAAAATGGAGAAAGGTTTTGCAGTTCATGATGACATGGAAAATTTCAGCTACTCCACCACTCAAACTGAAATCTCAGGGAAAACAAAAAAATAAGCAAACTTGCAAATAAATGGCTAAAAGTTTGGGGTTGCTGCTTTGTTGGGGTTTTTTAATGGATCAGGTCCTCAATTTTACCCTTCATTAAGTGGATTTTGTGCAGTATGGAAGAGAAAAATCTAAGGACAATACTCCAGAGATGATAAAGTTCTCCCTGGTGATGCAAGGCCAGGTCACGTGCAGGACCACAGGGTTGCTGTTCCTCCTCCTGCAGGACCCTGTCCTGTCCCACAGCACTCAGGGCATTGCTTCACCTTCCTCAGGGGGGACTGAAACCAGGAACAAATTCAAGGTAAACTTCTTTCCAGGAGGAGCAGAACCTGCCAGGGGTCAAGGTACACACACTCCATCCACTCCCAGCCTGGCTTTTCCCACAGCTGCCCTGAAACACCACAATTAACAAGAATAATGATAAATCCTGCAGATTAGGAGAGATTCCCCTCAAATTCAAAGTGTCCTCCCAGCTCCCTGCTCAAGGACAGACTCCCTACACTGGAGCAGCCTCCAAAGTTCTGGAGGCAGCAAGTTTCCCTCTTTTCCTTGGACTCTGCAGCACATGCAGAGTGCCGAACCCCAGCAGGCGGGAGGAGCACACACTGCACTCTTCTTATCAGGGGAAGGAGAAATCTTTATACAAAAACCTCGTGCCCTTCTGCAGGTGGAGAGAGGAAGGGAAAATAAAACCTTGCTATGAAGTGTGGGACCTGAACTGACAGCCCTGGGCCCTGCAGAGGCTTTGGCTGTATTTGTTTAAAAGGGAAATGGATCTAAGAAAAGAGATGTGAGAGCTCTCAGGTGTCCTACACAGATTGTTCCTGGCACAGAGAAGCATCCCTGGGTTCCCATCCCTGGAACTGTCCAAGGCCAGGTTGGAGCAACCTGGGTAGTGGAAGGGTGTCCGTGCCCATGGCAGGGGTGGAACAGGACGATTTTAATGTCCCTTCCAATCCAAACCGTTCCATGACTCCATGGACATCAGCTCGTACTGGGAATAGTGGAACCTTCAGCTCACACTGCTCAGCCTGTGGCTTCCCTCTGATCTCCTTCCCTATGTCCTCTGTCCAAGCTGGAGCTGAACTTCCAGTGGTGTCACCCTCTGATGAATCCCTGGCACAGGGGAGCTGCAGGTCAGAAAAATTAATCAATCATCCCATGTGTGATCCCAGGTGTGACCCCAGGTGTGATCCCCTCGGAATCTTCTCAGGCACGCTCATGTCCACCCCAACTGCACCAGCCCAACTGGGGCTTGGAAAACAAGAGGCAAAGCATGCTCAGAGCCTCACCCCTAACCTGGGTGGGATTTTGGGGGGTCTGTACAGGGCCAGGGGTTGCACTGGCTGATCCCTGTGGGTCCCTTTCAGGATATTTTGTGATTCCAGCCTCTGGAAGAGGCCTCTGGTTGGCAGCAGCAGCACAACCAAGCAGGGATTTTGGGATTTAAAGAAGTTTCCTGGCACTGCAAGGAAGTGCAGGAGCAGCACCTGACTGCAGGGAGTTCCCGAGGGTTTGGGAGCCACCTCAGGAGAAGTTTGTGCAGCCCAGAGCTGCTCCAAAGCACACCCAAAATTCCCTTTATTGCCTCTGCCTGGCCAGAATTCCCTTTATTGCCTCTGCCTGCCCCGCAGCAGCTCAGCTCCACCAGGCTCGTGCCTCCAGCCTTGGGAGCAGATAACATTTACAGCAAATCCCAGCACAAGTCCTGGGATCCCTGCAGAGCCAAAATCCCAGAACATAAAGAGCTTCCATGTGTGACACCTGGCTGAGGAACCCACTGCTGCTGTCTGGAAACAGTGGGAAAAGCAGGAATGTTCTGGATCTCCGTGAAGCAACAGCCCTGGGGACGCTGTGGGAACTCGTGGGGTGAGCCCCTGAGCATCCTGAGCTGGGCAATGACAGCGAGATGTTCCTGGGGCTGCTACCTCTACAAGAGAGCCTCTGGACAACCCCAAAACTCCCCTGAATTCCCTAAGGAATGTCACTGACAGCCTAAGGAAAGCCCTTTGCTTTGGTAAGGTAAGGTAAGGTAAGGTGACACAAAAATTACTCCACAGGGCATCTCCCAGCCCCAAAAAACGCCTTCACAGGGCTTCCTTTTCCCAACCCCAATTATTTTATAGGGGATTTCTCAACCCTCAAAAAATGATTTCACAAGGTTCGTCCCAACTCCCAAAAAATTATTTCACAGGGCATATCCCAACCCCCTCCACCAAAAATGACTTCATGGGGCATCTCCCAACCCCAAAAATGACTCCACAGGGCATCTCCAGCCTATCCTCCCACAGAGCCCCCGCCCTGGTTCCATGGAAACTTTTCCTAAGTCGAGGCTTGTGTGTCCAGATAAGAGCAGTGATTAGAGGAACAAAACCCGTTTTTATCAGCAGGCAGCATTAGCATGAGAAGGAGCAGAAAAGGCCTCTTGTGAGAACATTTATCCTCAAAAACAGACCCACAGAGAGCTGGGAACACAGTTGAGAGCTGATATCCCAAAAAAGAGATTTGGGAAGACACGAGAAGCTCCTCCCAGGCAGGCAGAATATCAGAATTGGGAGGGTTTGAGGTGAATTGATGGGAAATTAGACCAGACCCACAGCAGAATCAACATCTCTGCATCTTCTGTGCACTCACAACTGTTTGGCTCGATTTCTGGCTGCTCTTTCTGGGAAAAGGGATTTTTTGTTGCCCTGCAGGAATTCTGAGGTGCCTCAGCCACAGATTTCTGTTCCCCACTGGTGGCTCAGCGAAAGAGAACAATCATTTTCCTCTTCACACATGAAAACATTCACCCAAACTATTCACAGGCAATTTTCTCCTGACAAAGCTCCAAACTGGGAGATTTCAGGCCAAAAATAAAAATAATAATAAAAAAAGAAGGATGTCATTTATGTACTCATTCCCTATTCCTCTCTCTGTCAAGCTGATTACAAGAAATAGGGGATAAACAATATTAAAAAAAAATTAAAAATGGGGAGAAAGAAGTAAATCCTCCCCACATTTTGGGAAGTACAAGATGCCTCCTCTTCCCCAGGGAGTTTTCCTCCCTCTTCCCTGTGTCTTTTTACAGAACCAGGTCATAAATCAGTGATTTCCACAGGAATATTTCCCTTTACCCCCTCTCTCCCCACCACAGTGGGATAAAAACAGGACAGGATTTCCAGGATTGGGAGCTGCTCCCAATCCAGAGGATGGAAAGGGAACAATGGGCCAAGAACAAATTGCTAAAGGAGCAGCTCCCTAATTCTGGGCATGGAATCTTCCTTCAAATTGATGCTGCTTGTGAAAGTAATTGGATTTGTATTTTACCTTTAAGTTTTGGAGAGGGAAGCAGTGACCTGAACATTCCTTAAAGTGATTAAATGGCTCTGTTCCAGTCTTAATATTGAAAGCTTTGTCAAAGAGTCAAATTTGATAGGGAGGTCTGAAACACTCAAGTGTCATTTTCATCTTTAAAATAAGAATTTTGTTTTCTTTGTGGTTTGCATTAAGGTATTATGAAAAATGTCCCAGTGAAGGACTGGGATAAACAGCCTAAAAAGGGCATGGAAGCTCCATAACTGGAGCATTTTAAGAACATTTCATGCCAGTTTGTGATATTACAACTCAAAACAACATAAATTATGAACTAATCGGCCCTTCCCTCTGCTTTTTTGTCATCCACTCAGATCAAAAAGTAATTCAGGTTAAAAGCTAGTTGTTTTTTTTTTTTAATTATTATTCTTATTTTCCAGCAGGATCAGCTCATCCCATGATCACAGAGGCCTGGCCTGGACCAGAGAGGAGCCAAAGCAAAGAGGTGTGGGGTGAAAACAGCAGCAAACAGCCAGAATTAAACATTTCTTTCTCTTTCAGTGCTGCCTTGAGAATATTGGTGAAACCTTGATAAACACTGCCTGGAACAGCACAGAGATGAGAAATCCTCTGCACTTCTGCATTTTCAACACTATTTTAAAAGTTAAGGAGCTACAGTAACCACTACACACCAGATTTGTGCTTTGGGGCGTAACAGAAGTTGAAAATACCGACCTAAAATTTGAAAAAACAATCTTGATTTGTTCCTATTTCCCTTTGAACCCCCCTGTGAGCTGCACCTACCTTCGTACATCTCCAGGATGTGAACAGTGTCCCCCACCTGCAGGGACAGCTCCACGTCCTGCGCGGCCTCATAGTTGTAGATGGCTGAAAAACGGGGAGAGAAAGGGAAAAAACAGAGCCATGAGGGGATCAGGCTTGGGAATGGGCTCTCCAAAGGCAGGGAGGATTTAGGAAAAAGGAATAAAGCCATTAAGTCACCCTGGGTATGGAATTCACTGGGAAAGGCCATCATGTATCAATTTCCAGATTTTATCATGAAGAAATATTATTAACAGATGACAAAGTGGGGTTTTACCTTCCAGACAGGCCTGTGACCTTCTGGAGGTGCTGCACATTCCCACTTGGGCAGAAACCTGCCCACAGAGGGTAGAGGTTCCATAACTGGCATTTTTTGGTCTTTCGCAGGAGTAACTCCAGCATCAGACAACATCAGAAATGGGATAATAAAAACCACCCCTATTCCAGACTAATCCACACCCATATCCAAACCAAATCATACTTATTTCCTGCTAAAGGCTCTGCCCAGCCAAGAACCAATTTTAGCACCAAAACTTAGGGATTCTGTACAAATTTAATCCCTCCCAAAGGCAAAGTTAAGCTGAAAGCTTATGGGATTTCCAGGGGGAATAGGATTAAGTGCAGGAGCCCACACTGCTGGAGTGTCTTTTCCCTGGGACTTGCTGGAGCTTCACTGGGCAGAGCAGAGCCTGCCCTGGCAGCAGATGAGAAAGTTTAAATTGAATTTGCTTTCAAACCGAGTAAAAAGACATCAAATCAGTGAAATGCTTTGCTGTGGTTAAAGGAATTCATCAGCAAAGTCACAGCAGACCAAGGCCAGACCACCTGATTTATTTAAAATACTGATTTAAGGACTGATCACATCCTAAATACAGCAATTAAATCTTCCCAGACACAAAATTCCCATATTTATGTATCCCTGAGCAAATCCACTGGTGAATAACCACATTTGTTTCTATGAAAACAAAAAAATCATTTTTCAGAGGGGAATTCTTGAAACTACCCAAAGTTTGTGTTTGAGGAGCTCTGGACTGGAAATAAAATCAGTCAATAAAAATCGGAGATCTTCTGCCAGGAAATTCCCATGAAATGCTTCCCATTCCTGTTGGGATGAGGTGCTCTGTCTCCTGGCTGGGCTCCAGCACAGCCTGGGGGTTTCACCACCGGAAATTCTCTCCAAATACTGAAGCTATAAATATCCCAGGCCGAGGATGTGAATCCCCACAGGATCCTGATCCCAAGCAGGGACATCTTCCTGTGCTGCAGGGCAAGGTCTGCTCCCAGGGAAGCTCCATTTGCTTCGTGCCACAGACACACAGATGCACTAAATCCATGATTTCCACAGGATTACAGGAATTTCTCTGTATTCTGTTCCTAAGAGCTGCTTCCACACCCACTTTCCTCTCCCTCCCCACAAAGGGGCTGTAAATCAGGATTGTAAAGCTGGCTGGTGAGCTGGGTGTGCGGCTCAGACACCTGAAAGACCCCAGAGCCGGCCCAGAAGTAAAAATTCCATTCACATTCTTACAGAAACATCTGGATAATGTTCGTGGCCAAAACTGAACATGAAGTGTGGAATGGTCTGGGTTAGGAGGGGATTTAATCCCATCAGTGCCACCCCTGCCATGCCCAGGGACACCTCCCACTGGCCCAGATTATCCCACCTTGGCCTTGGACACTTCCAGGGATCCAGGGGCAGTCACAGCTGCTCTGGGAATTCCATCCCAGCCAGGAATTCCTTCCCAATATCCCATCTGACAGTGGGAGCCATTTCCTGTGTCCTGTCCCTCCATCCCTTGTCCCCAGGCCCGTTTCCAGCTCTCCTGGAACCCCTTCAGGCCCTGCAAGGAGCTCTCCCTGAAGCTTTCCCTTCTCCAGGTGAACACTCCCAGCTCCCTCAGAATCCAGAGGGGCTCCAGCCCTGGAGCATCCCCGAGCTCTCCTCTGGCCAGGTCCCTGAGGTGCTGCAGGGCTCTCACACCCAGGGATTCCCACACACAACTCCCACATGCCCCCATTTTTTTGGGACAATCACTCCTTATACGAATACCAGGCTGCATTTTTCCCATAAATTGCTGCCCAGGGAAAGGTGGGTGGACACAGGCCCAGCCTTTCTGCTGGGAACACAGAGTTAATTCAGCCCAATGAGCACCAGGAGGACGCAGCCATTCCGTTCCCCTTCCTAAAGGTCACAGCAGCCACTAGACAGAACCAAACCCTGCAGTCCCCTTCCCTTCCCCTTCCCTGCTCCACCAGGCAGGTTTCACATCCCAACACGCAGCATTTACAACCTGGAGGAACTCCCACATGAAAAAAAAAAACCACAAAAAACAACAACAAAAGTCAATTTTATCCTTCCTTGCCTTGCCAGACTGAACTAAGCCAGAATAGAGGGTCACTGAAACCTCCTCCCTCACGGTTATGTACAAGATTATAAAAGACAAATTACTGGCATATTTTCCCTGGGAGCTTTGCTGGTTGCAAGTGACGTTTCCTGCTGCTGAAAGTCAGAGCTGTCCCCATCCCATCCCATCTGCAGGGATTTGTGCTGCTGAGCCCCCTCCGTGACCCCTCTTGGACTTGAAAGGAAAAGGAAGCTTCACATCACAAACATGGGCATGGCATGGAAAAATAAAACCCCTTCACTTAAATCCTGACAGAGCAGCAAGAAAGGAAGAAGGAAAAATAATACAGAGACTTTTGTATTCAAATTTGCAGCAATATCTGAAGTTAAGTCTTTTTGCTCCAAGCTAAACTTCAGCTGTGATTTTGTCCTTTGAAATTCACTTCAGAGTGTTGATCCTGCTCCTTTTATCAGCCCAGATGAAAAGCAGCACTGAAATTGAGGAAATTTAACCCAAATAAAGAGGTGGAGGTGGAAAACACGAGCCTGGGTTTGTTTAATGATCATTTCTTCAAGCACAACTGGAGGCAACGTCTCGTTGTGTTTGGTTTAGTGCTCCAGTTCAGTTAAAAGGTGAGGAATGTGTTTTCCAAGTGCACCCAGCCTATGGAATCCATCAGGATTGGAAAGGGCAGCAGATAATTCCAGAAGCAGTCGATTTTATGGCACAGCCAGGGCCAGAAGGTGAAGATAAGCAGCAATTTTCGTGCTCCAGGGCAGAAGGTGATTGCTCAGAGGGGCTGGAGGAGGAACTCTGAGGCACAACCTTCGGGGATGCTCTGCCCCAAAGCCACCCCACAAGCAGGGACTGCATGGGTGACAAAGGCCAGCTGGCAAAGCCTGGGCTCTCCAGGGCTCAGATGGGGCAGGTGTGGCACTGTCACTGCCCCAGGACACCAGGCCAGCCCCAGGACACATTCCCGAGCCCCAGGACACACTCCCGAGCCACGGAATGCCACCAGCCCAGCGGCACCCGCGGCACGGCAGGGCCACAGCGTCATGCCTGGGGCACAACACAAGGAGTGCAGCTCTAGCGCCAGCAAAAAACCCACGAGTAAAACTTTTAGATGCACTTTAAAACCCACGAGTAAAACTTTTAGATGCACTTTAAAGCAAAGCTCTGCTCTGGGCAAGAGCGCAGCCTCAGTTTGCAAGAGGTGCGTGGGCCCCTCACAGAGCCTGAGCTGGGGGTCAGTGCAACCAGGGACAGACAGGGAATTTTCAGGGGGAATGGCTTCCAACCGGCAGGGAGGAGGCTTAGATGGGATATTGGGAAGGAATTCCGCCCTGTGAGGGTGGTCTGGAATTCTCAGAGAATTTGTGGTTGCCCTGTCCTTGGAAGTGTCCAAGGCCAGGATGGAGCAGCCTGGGATAGGCCATGGCAGGGGTGGGATGGGATGAGCTGTTAAATCTCTTCCAACCCAACCATTCCATGATTCCACCTTTCTGTTAATTCCTAGACTCATTTTCCCCATAGATTAACTCCTTTTCAAGACTAGCCCTAAAGGCCACGCTGAGCTAAAACACCTCAAAATGAAAAGAGAATGAAGCAGGAACTGTCCCACACAAATTCTGTGTAATTCAAATCAAAAGAAAATGGAATCTTTCCCTCCATGAGTGCACATGAAATGTGGATTATTGGCCTGGGAAACAGAGCCCCTGCAAGATCCATTATCTCTGAGCTGGCTCTGGACCCCCCCTGCCCCACCCACCACAACCCCTCTAAATGCCACGTCCTGCTCCCACTGCCCTCCCATCTGCGAACTGAGGCTGCTCCCCAGAACAAAGAATCCCTTTCAGGGCTCTGCAGGAACCCGACTCATTCCATCCCTCAGCCCCACAGCATGGAACCAGAGAGATTCGACTGCAGGACTCAGGAATGGCCTTTCTGCAGGACAGCCCTGCTTGGAGGAGCCTGGGATGGTCCCCAGTGCCAAGATCCAGCCAAAAAGACAGTGGCTTTATCTAAAAAACAAGGAACTGCCCAAGGAATTAATTCTTCAGAAGAACAAAGTCTTTTTGATGTTTGGAGCAAAAACATTCTGGTAGCTTCCCAGGAATTTGTGTCTGACAAACTGAGAATGGCATAATTAAGATTTAGATGTCAGACTACTTCTTCTGCTTCAGAAGAAGAAAAAAAAAAAGTAATTCATGGTTTAACACTGGGAAATACGGGCAGTTAGTCACTGTTATGAAAAAAAGAGATAATATCCATATTTTCGTATCTGCAGGATCCCTGTTAGTCACCTTCCCCTCAAACATTTGTTGCAAAGTGTTTACACCACAGTATTTGCATAAAAATAAAGAATATTCTCAGAGCATCTGAGCTGTACACAGGACACAGATACACCCTAAACACCCAGATTTGGGCTCCAGCATTAATTTCACCCCAGCACAAACTGTTTTGTCTCTGAATGTGCTCAGGGTGGAAGGAGCCAAACTTTGGCTGCTCCCGTGCTCTGACCCTTACAGACACTCTGTTTTATTTTCCACCCAAGGAATACTCACACACAAACCTTCTGCTGTGTCATTTTCTTCACTGTCCTCTCCATTTCCTTTATTATTTTCACTCCAAAGGGCCCTTGGGGGTTTTAAGCTCAGATAAGGAATTAATCTACATGAGCTGTCTCAGCTCCGGTGTGGAGTAAGGAGTGCT